TGTGGGTCTTCGGTTCACTCGACAGCAGCAGCAAGAAGAAGAAACAGCCGCTGTGGGTCTTTAGTTCAACCAGCAGTGGCAGCCAGATGGAGAAACAGCCTCTGCAGAAGCGCGAAACAGGTCATGTGCAGGCCTTCGGTTCAACCAGCAGCGGCAGCAAGATGAGGGAAAAGCTGCTGCATTTTGGACGGAGACAACAGTAAGATGAAGAACAGCCCGAGAGCAGTTTGGACGGAAGGCAGCAGCACCGCACAGCAACCAAGACAGACAGCTAAAAGGTAAGTTTCATTTATCCTTTTCACCCTTTTTTTATTTTTTTATATACAAAATAAAAGGGGAAGTCCACAGGGTTGGGTCAAGGTACGAAAGGTAACACCCAACCCCCCATTCTTACCCATGAACATACCCCTAGCCCTAGCATTACCACTAGGAAAAATAAAAGTTTAAGACAAAAGATCTTCACAACTAGAAAGGACCAAGAAAAAGAACAAACTACAAGAAATACCAAGTCCCTAATAATTAATTTACACATATAAGAGCATATAAAAGAAATAAAGATTTATACCTAGTAACCGGAACGGAAGGAATCTCGACGGTGAAGGAATGAAGACGGACGGAAAAGGAGAAGTTTCGAGGTGTAACAAAATTAAAGTAAATTATATTTTTGTTTTCCAATTTAAAAGATTTTAGCTATGATAAATTTTGAATTAAAACAAATTTATATGAAAAAAATAAGAATTTATGAATCTTTAATAAAAGATACACAATTTTTAATAAATATATTTATTTTGGGTTTTTGTTTAGAAATAGCAAAATATGTCCAACCAATTTTTTTTATTAACCTGAATATCCAACCCGCTATGCGAGCCGACTAATCCCAAAACGACCACCTGCTTTGCAGATAGTCCGGAGTCACCGCATTTGAAGCTCTGTGGCCACAAGAGGATCTTTATTCCTCCTTGGATTTGAATCTGAGACCTCCTGGTACTTTTGACCTTTAGAGCCAAGCTTAAATCAATCAAACACCACCTTTGTTGTTATATGTCCAACCAATTGTAATCATAATTTTTGTTTTCATACATATTTTGGAGTTTATTTTTTAATATTAATTTTTGTCTCCCAATTTATAAAWAATAAAATGTTACATTACCTTGCATATGCATAGATACACATGTTAGTATTACTAGAAGCATATTCGTAAAATACTGTTGATATATGTCGATTTTAGTATCCCATTTTATTATTTGTCTCTGTCAGTTTTATAATACGATTTTGAGAAAACAATGATATTTTTATACTTGAATAAGATATAAATTTGAAAATCCTATAAAAATTTGAAAAGAATGTTGGTTCCGGATGTGATGACAATAAATAGAAGGTAATTGTAGAAGGGGGGGGGGGGGGGTTGAATGCAATT